CGGCCACCCCCAGGGCGCGCGCCCGCTGGGGGCGGTGACAGGGGGTGGCTCAGGGGCCGTGGAGTCTGAAGCTCCTGCGGGCGGGGGCTGCGCCCCAGCAACAGCCGGTTATTGGCCCCGCGCTCTCCTGGCGGGCGGGGCGGGCGCACGTGGCGGCGGCGATGGGGGGTGCTATCAGCGGAGGGGGGCGTCTGGGGCCGCCGTGGGAGCGCGCGTGTGCGGGGTTGTGGATCTGCAGGTGTCTCGCCTGGGTGTGTGCGTGTGTCTGGCTCCGAGTTTGTGCTGGGGTCTGCAGGGAGTAGTTGTGTCAATCCAGAGGAATGTTGGGGTTTGTGACCCGTCGGGTGTATGCGTGAGTCCGCGCATACGTTTGTGTGGGATTCTGTGTATGTCGTGCCCGTGGGTTGGGATGTACCTGTGTGTGTGTTCTCTGTGAGTTGTCTGTGTGTACTGTTTAAGGGTGATTCCGTGGGTCTGTGTTGCCTGCGTGTGCTACGGTGCATGGTTGTAGTGTGTTTGTGTGTTGCTCGAGTGAGCTGTTTGTGTGTTCATATGTGTGTGTCTTGCCTATGTGTACTGTCTTGTTCGTCGCTGTCTGTTTATCTCGAGGGCATGTGTCTTTGCCCAGCGTTTGTGGTAGTTTGCCTACTGAACGCAGATGTCTGTTTTCTGTCCAGGTGTCCGTGTGAGTTCTGTGTGGCGTGTGTGCGTGGTGGGAGGTTGTCTCAATCTTGTGTTTGGCTTGTGTGTCTGGCATCAGCACCTAGGAATTGAGGACTGAGGCTCTGTGGGGTCTATGCAGTGCAGTGCTGTGAATGTTGCTGGCTGTGTCTGGGACCGAGTGTGTGTGTGTGTGTGTGTGTGTGTGTGTGTGTGTGTGTGTGTGTGTGTGCGTGCGTGTGCGCGCGCGCGCCTGTGTGTGTGTGTGCGCGCGCGCGCGCGTGCGTTGGGTCTAAGGGACTTGACGCTGTGATCCACTGGCTCATGTGTGTCATGTGGGCTGCGTGTGTGTAGTGTTTATGTCAGTCACGTGAGACCAATGTTTTCTGGCGGTGCTTTAGGTGTGTGTGCTGCTGGGGCTGTGTGGGATTAGAGTTAGCTGTGGGGTGTGTGTGTGTGCTGATGCAGACTGTTGGTGATGGTGTTTTGGGGTTGGGAGAGGAGGGAGAGTTGATGTCTGCTGTTCTGCTGGTGCATTTGTGTGTCGTTGCTAGTATGTGTGGTAATGCATTGGGATCTGATGACGTGTGTGCCTGATTTACATATGTCCTGGGGTCTGAGAGTTGGTGACATATGGGTGTGTTTTGGTGGTGTTGGTCTGTGTGTATCTGTGGCTGTCTGTTTTGTGTTATTTTGTGTTTTGAGTCCTGAGGTGTGTAGGTCTTATCTCTTGGGTGTGTATGTGTTTGGACAGGGGCATGTTGTTCGAGAATTGTGGCAGTGCTTATTTTGTGTTAGTTTCTGTCTGTGCTTATGATGGCTGCATTGTGTATGTGTGTGTGTGTTTCCAGGCATATCAACAGTGGGTCAGTGTGTGAGATTTTGAGTGTGTGTGTGTGTGTGTGTGTGTATGGGAAGGGAGAGGATGGGTTGTGTCAGCCAGTATGCAGTATGTGTATAGTGCTTGTGATGGTCTCTGTGTGTGTGCATGTCTATGTTTTAGACAGTGTGTGTGTGTGTGTGTGTCCTGTATACAGAGTAGCATTGTCCGGGACCATCTTAATGCTGTGTGCAAGTAGTGTGTGTGTGTGTGTGTGTGTGTGTCCTGTATACAGAGTAGCATTGTCCGGGACCATCTTAATGCTGTGTGCAAGTAGGAGATAGGGTAGGAGGTCAGGCTGGCCAGTCCTGTGTGAGTCATTGTGTGTATGTGTGTGCACCCTTCACACACACACCCAACAGTCTTCTCCATTTGGGTCATATTTGAGCCCCTGAGTGTGGGGGGAGCCCTTACTGTGCCTCACTGCCCTCCAAGTGTGCCCCTCACCGTGTTCGGAAAGTTGTACCCATCAGCCCATGCCCATCTTTAGCCCAGGTGGAATGACTTTGTGTTATGGGGCTGTCACAACCCCCCCCACACACACACACACACAGGCACACACACCTGACAGACCCCTCCATCTGGGTCCTGTGTGAACCCTTGTACTTGCTGTTAGAGCCATCCTGTGCCTCCTTGTCCCTAGTGTGTGCCCATCACCCTGTGTATGGGGCTATCCTGGCCAGCTCAAACCTTGTATCATTCTCTAGTTGGGTGTGTCTTTCGGGCTGTCACCCCTTCTGCATCACACACACCTATATTTCCCTCATCTGAGAACCCTGGGTGGATAGGGTGTGTGTATTGCAGGGGCCCTGGAGCCCCCTGCACGTCCCCGCTGACCTGCTCCTCCCTCCGTGTCCCACAGGCCCCAGGGAGCGCCATGGCCCGCGCACGCCAAGAGGGCAGCTCGCCGGAGCCCGTAGAGGGCCTGGCCCGCGACGGCCCGCGCCCCTTCCCGCTCGGTCGCCTGGTGCCCTCAGCCGTGTCCTGTGGCCTCTGCGAGCCCGGCCTGTCCACTGCCCCCGCCGCCCCTGCCCTCCTGCCCGCTGCCTACCTCTGCGCCCCCACCGCCCCGCCCGCCGTCACTGCCACCCTGGGGACCCCTCGCTGGCCTGGGGGACCCCGCAGCCGGCCCCGAGGCCCGCGCCCGGACGGTGAGTGACCGCCCCAAACCCGGGATGATGGGACGCTAGAAAAGAGAAGGCCACAGAGACACTGAAGAACTGGAGAAGTGGGAGCGGAGAGGGGGAGGTGGTGAGCCGAGCCGGGCCACTGGGAGGGTGTGGCCAATGTGGTCTTTGTGTTGCAAGAAGCAGGAAGACGGAGTGGGAGGCTGGGGGTGGAGGGGGAGGTCGAGTGGGAAGTCCCTCCTGGAATCTGACTGCAGTCCCCGAGTTGCAGCCCACGGCTTTTTCCGGGCCTGGGGCAACAGCTGTTTCTCAGCTCCCCTCCTTCACTGCCCCCGGCCCCGAAGATTGCCGTTGGAGAGTGTGGGCAGAGGGAGAGGACCGTCACCTCTGGGGCTTGGGGAGAGGTCGAAAAACCTTTTGCCTTTATTTGCATCTCTTTGGCCCGGGCTGGCCCTCTCTGCCGTCCCGGAGGAGGAAAGAGAGGGGGAGGGGCCATTGTGTTGGGAAAGTCCCCTCGGGGAAGGGGTGAATCTTGGGGAGGGAAGGGTTAAAGGTCCCCTGCCTGATGGGCGCTTAACCCTGTGGTGCCCGGCCAGTCCGCCTCCGCCCCTCCGCTGCCGGTACACACGGTAGCGGGCAGTGATTGTCCTGGTTTTCCTCCCCATCCCCCATCCTGCCCTTGGAGCCCACGGGGTAAAGAAAAAGAAAACTTCCCTAGCTCAGTTCCTGGCAGTGGAACAGGGGGACCCCGATTTCATGACCCAAGTCACAGCTGTGGAAACTGAGGCCCCGGTGGTAGGCCTTAGGGAAACCTCCTGCCGGGAGCTGGTGTGACGGGAGGGAGGGAGAGAGTAGCGAGAAGCGCTGAAGGGGGTGGGGAGGAAAGCCGTTCCCGCATCCCAGGCCCCCAGGCTCCTGCTCAGAGGCAGCCACGGCCTGGCCTTCTGGTCTCTAGGCCTCTGCCACATCCGGGGGTGTGGCTTCACTGTGGTTGGATACCAGAAGGCAGGAGACCTGAGGCTTGTGACTCTGGGTGGGGTCATTCCCTGTATCCCTGTGTGACCTTGGGGCACTTACGAGGGTGGGCCTCAGTTTCCCTACCTATGAAATGGAGCAGGCAAGATTTGGCTCCACTTTGGGATAGAGGTGCTTAGGTCAGACAAGGCCTTCCCGACTGACCCGTGCAGTGCGGAGGCAGCGGGCCGTCCAGGTGGTCCCCGAGCCTCCTCCCTAGGTCCTCGTGATTTCTAGTGCCTGGGAAGGAGGAGCTGAGAAAGCTAGCTTCAAGAGGGGAGACAAGGGGATCGTTAGAAATGAGGCTCGGAGCAAGGGATAAACCAGGTGGCTGGAAAAGGGTGAAACAGACCCTGGGTTCCTCCGGAACAGCACAGGGCCGGGAAGGGTGGTGGATGGTGACCACACCCCTCTGACCCTTCAAGGTCCTCAGCCATCACTCTCGCCCGCGGAGCAGCACCTGGAGTCGCCCGTGCCCAGCGCACCGGGGGCCCTGGCGGGTGGTCCCACCCAGGCGGCCCCGGGAGTCCGGGGGGAGGAGGAGCAGTGGGCCCGAGAGATTGGGGCCCAGCTGCGGCGGATGGCGGACGACCTCAACGCGCAGTACGAGCGGCGGGTGAGTGCTGGGGGAGGGATAGACGGCAGGTGGGACTTCCCGCCGGGGTAGGGGCGTGTAGGCGGCCCCCGCCAGATGTGTGGCAGCTGCTGTCCTGCGCGGCGGGGTCGCGCTGGGGACAGGCAGGTGGGGGGCGGGGGCGGCGTGCCCACTGAGCAGCCGAACGGGCCCGCCGCCGCGGCTGGCACTGCCCGGGAGAGGGCCAAGGCGGCCTCGAGAACTGCAGCG